TAATTTACATTTAAATTGGAGAGATCAAATGTATTCCCAAATAACAATATTACCAAGGTAAAATGTAATGTGAACTATATTACAAATGTAAACCAAGAGCTATGGGACTCTAATAATGGAGGGAATACCATAATGGCAGACTTCATGAAGGAGGTGGCATTTGAACTCAGTCTTCAAGGATGGCAATATAGGATCTCAGGTAGTGATGAGGAGGAAATAGTCTGAGCCATCAAAAAGGAAGAGAAGGATAGGGTACTTGTAGAATAATGAGTGGTACCAGGTGATACAGGATGAGTGAGTGACAGCAAGAAGGCAGTGTGTGCTCTTGAGCAAAGGAGGGGTCTGAAGAAACCATGTTTCAGAAAAAGTAACGTAGTAGTAATAATAAGTAATGGAGGGGAAGAAATGGAGTTTGCTAGCACAGTTAAGAAGCTACTGCCATAATCCAGGCACAAGGAAATGAATGCCTAGATCAGTGACAGAGAAAATGGAAAGTTTAGCCTCTAAAATGTTCTGGTTTACACGAAAGTCTCTAGTTTGGATAAGTCTGCCCTGGAGAAAGTGCACGCTCCCTTCTGAAACTGCAAAACTGAAAGCTCAAACCTGAAACACAGTGCCTCTATGGAGATTATATGAGAACTTTTTCAAGAAAGCAGTTGTGCTCCATGGCTCTTCCAAGAACATGTAGGTTAAGAAGTTAGAAAAGAATATCAGAACATTGATGGGTGACAGGAGGGAAGACTGCTGCCTGGCTGGCTGGCTGCCTGCCAGGAGGACCTAACCACCTGACATTTTCCTCCATAGAGAAGCTTTGCTTCAAGCCTGGTTCTTTAGATTTGCAGGATCAGAACGTTAATTTTGCCAGCACAGCACTCTTTTAAAGACACACACCGTCCTAGCTCAAGACTAAAGGATAAACCAGAATGTTTTAGAGGGCAAACCATAACCATAATCACCAAAAAGAGCAGAGACTTGACAAACACATCCCTGCCACTGGGACACATCACTGAGTCTGCATGCCTTCTCTGAGCTGCACTTGGTTGGGCACTGCCAGCACAAGCCCGTTGTTCCCCTTCCCTGTGCTGCATTTCTGGCCAACCCTATCCCCTTCCAACAGACACATTCATTCTTTAGATATGCCAATATAGGCCTGGCAGGATGGCTTATACCTGTAATCCTAGCATTTTGGGAAGTCAAGGCAGATGGATTACTTGAGCTCAGGAGCTTGAGACCACCATGAGCAACATGGTAAAACCCCATCTCAGGGCTGGGCGCGGTGGCTCACGCCTATAATCCCAGCACTTTGGGAGGCTGAGGCGGGTGGATCACGA